GAAATTTGATGGAAAACTTACACTCTTGCAAAGTTAGCGACCTTGGCGATATTTACGAATCTGCGATTTCACCCACTTTGAGCCCTATTTTCAGCTAATTCCATTGTACCAGTCGACCAAACTCATAGCTACAAGAATACAAGAGTACAAGAAACTGCCCATTTACCGATTTCAGCTACCCAATAATGTGGTCAGAAATTTGCAATTTGGCTAATTTCACGAAAATTAAAAAAATATGCCAATTTCAAAATAGGGTCCAGAATGAACAATGCAGACATTCCTGGCTCAAAAATAACATTTTCTTTGTTCATCAGTCACGTCTCCAGGCCCTTCTGATATTACTCTTGCTCTCTATTTCAAATTTTTATTCAAACAAAAAATAGAAGATTTACTGTTATGCAGACTACTGCAATATTGTAATAATTGTACAAATAATGTCAACCCTTTCATGACTGCATATTAGAATGGTTAGTTGAACATTTATTGGACAATGACATCATTTGTTTACTTTTGAAAATCAGCAAAAATCAAACACTTCCCTTACTTTGAGCTCCAATTCATGGTTCTTTTCATAGTAAAAACCAATCAAAATCACATCTATTTCTATAATATGTTTTCCATTCTATCAGAAGGGACCAAGAAAACGAGAATACTACCATAAATACTATACAAAAATACACCACGAAGTTGGCATTTTAATCCAGAAAAGCGGTCGGAGTTTTTTTTTCTCGTTATCCACTGCGTGCTGCAGGATTTTTTTTGTATGGTGCACACTGACCCATTCTCTCACATGTGGGCCTACCAGCTTTCTCCTGCTTGATTTGAAGCCGCTAGAATTTTTGAGTATATATACTTCAAACACGGTGGCTCGTAAGACGTATATATGTGACCGAAACAGTCAAAGGGTTAAGGATGAGCAGGAGCATTGTCCATTAACAGGAGGCACTTGAGTGGCAATTTATTTTCCAGGAAGTATTTTTTCACAATGGGACCAAACATGTCATAGAACCAATCGAGCAAAATGCCCCTAGTGACCCATGCCTTACTGTTTGCTCTCCACGTCACACACAATTTAGTCTTGATGACATTGTTTTTCTTGAAAACACTGGGAGTTTCAGAGTGATACACGAGTAGAGGCTTCACTTTGCAATCCCCACTAGCATTACTACACAACATGAGAGTTACCCTGTCTTTCATAGGCTTGTGTCCTGGCAGTGCTTTTTCCTCCTGTGTAATGTAGGTCCTGTTTGGCATTTTCTTCCAAAACAGGCCTGTTTTGTCACAATTAAACACTTGTTTAACACTTTTTCGGTGTCTATGTACTCCTTGAATTCCTGCACATATTTTTCAGCCTCTTTTTTGTCCGAACTGGCAGCCTCTCCACGCCTTACCACACTGTGTATGCCACTATGATTCTTAAATCTCTCAAACCAACCTTTACTGGCCTTAAATTCAATAACATCACCACTAGTTGAAGGTATTTTTTTAATTAAATCATCGTGTAACTGATTTGCCTTTTCACAAAGGATTAATTGAGAGATACTATCTCCTGATATCTGTTTTTCGTTTATCCACAACAGCAACAGTCTCTCAACATCTTCGAGTACTTGCGATCTATTTCAAAAACATACTTGCACCTTTTGCAACAACAGCTTCCTTGATTGCCTTTCTGTTGGCCAAGATAGTAGTGATGGTTGACTGGGATTTGTTATACAACCTGGCCAGCTCGGAGACACGCACTCCACTTTCATACTTTGTGATTATCTCCTTCATTTTGATTGTAATTCTCGCCCTTTTTAACCACAGGGTTGGCACTAGAAGCTTTCTTGGGGCCTATGGTGGCTTATTTAGCAGTTACAAGCCCTAAAAACATTGGAATAATACAAAATGTACAGAATGTATGTGTGGAAGCGACTGCACTGGCACACTAACTGAAGGCAGGGCAGCTAAGGCGCGCTCAGGCCAGATGGACACGTGGACGCGTTCAGGACAAATGTTGTTAGTAGAGTTTTTCATTGTTGGTCAGGCCAAATTTTTTACGCTAAAATGCTTCGTTAAGCAATTTTTTCATTAGGCAATGCCTTCGTTGGTCGGGGGTCCACTATATATAGGCAAGAGAAAGATTATTTCCCAGTAAAAGTAGGCCTTAGACAGGGATGTGTGATGTCACCATGGTTGTTCAATATATTTGTAGATAGTTGTAAGAGAAGTGAATGTGCAGGTGTTGGTTAGAGGTGTGAGGTTAAAAGATAAAGAATATAAAACAAAGTGGGACTGTCACAGTTGCTGTTTGCTGATGACACTGTGCTTTTGGGAGATTCTGAAGAGAAGTTGCAGAGGTTGGTTGATGAGTTTGGTAGGGTATGTAAAAGAATGAAATTAAAAGTGAATATGTATAGGAAAGAGTAAGGTGATGAGGATAAAAAAATTAGGTAACAGAAGATTGGATATCAGATTGGAGGGAGAGAGTATGGAGGAGGTGAATGTATTCAGATATTTGGGAGTGGACCTGTCAGCAGATGGGTCTATGAAAGATGAGGTGAATCTTAGAATTGACGAGGGAAAAAGGTGAGCGGTGCACTGAGGAGTATGTGGAGACAAAGAACTTTATCCATGAAAGCAAAGAGGGGAATGTATGAGAGTATAGTTATACCAATGCTCTTGTATGACTGTGAGGCATGGGTGGTGATTGTTGCAATAAGAAGGATGGAGGCAATGGAGATGTCATCATGTCTGAGGGCAGTGTGTGATGTGAGCATAATACAGTGAGTCCGTATTTGGAGATTAGGGGGAGGTGCGGGATTACCAAAACTATTATCCAGAGGGCTAAGGAGGGGTTATTGAGATGGTTTTGACATGTAGAGAGGTTGAAATGAAATAGAATGACTTTGAGAGTGTATAAATCTGTAGAGAGAAGGCGAGGTAGGGGTCGGCCTAGGAAAGGTTGGAGGAAGGGGGTAAAGGAGGATCTGTGTGCAAGGGGCTAGGACTTCCAGCAGGAGTGTGTGAACGTGTTAGGAGCAAATGGAGACAAATGGGTTTTAGGACTTGATGTGCTGTTGGAGTGTAAGCAAGGTAACATTTATGAAGGGATTCAGGGAAACCAGCAGGCCGGACTTGATTCCTGGAGATGGGAAGTACAGTGTCTGCACTCTGAAGGAGGGGTGTTAATGTTGCAGTTTTATAACTGTAGTGTAAGCATGCCTCTGGCAAGACAGTGATGGAATGAATGTTGATGAGAGTTTTTCTTTTTCGGGCCACCCTGCCATGGTGGGAAATGGCTAATGTGTTAATAAAAATAACATAGAAACTAGTTGAGGGTCTTGTCCCAAATCTGCACACTGCCATAACAGCATACTGAAGTGAGAGATATGGGAGGAAGTGCAAAATAAACCCAGTGAAAAGCAGGAGTGCAGTGGACACAATAAGGGAATGCTATCAATGTCTGTGGCCCCATATTATTCAACATGTTACCAGAAGATATCAGAAACACTACTGGGACAAATGTGGAAGCCTTCAAGAGGAAATTGAACAAGTATCTTCACAAGGGGCCAGATCAACCAGGCTGTGATGGATGTGTGGGTCAGCAGGCCACTAGCAACAACAGCCTGGTTGATCAGGCAAGCACCAGACAAGCCGGGGTCATGGCTGGTCTCTGGGAGTAGAAGAACTCTCAGGACTCATTAATCCTTTGACTGTCGCAAGCCCCTTTCTGAAACTGTCATTCTATGTCAAAAAATTTTTTTGGAAAAAAAAAAATTATTTTTTCTTATGAAATGATAGAGAATCTTTTCCAGATGGTAATGACACCAAAAGTACGAAATTTGGTCAAAAACTCACAGAATCACGCTCCCACGAAGTTAGTGGTCTCAGCGACATATATGCATCAGCGATTCTGCTGACTTTGAGCCCCATTTTCGACCAATTGCATTGTTCCAGTTGATCAAACTCATAGCTATTTCTTTAGAACTCCATTTTTTCTATCAATTGTGTACAAGAAACCGCCCATTTACCAATCTGAACTACCCAATAAAGTGGTCAGAAATTGGCAATTTGGCCAATTTCACGCAAATTAAAAAAGACGCCAATTTCAAAATAGGGTCCAGAATAAACAATATAGACATCCTTGGCACTAAAATAACACATCCTCTGTTCATTATTCACGTCTCTAGGCCCCTCTTATTTTGATTTTTTATTCATACAAAAAATAGAAGATTTACTGTTATGCAGACTTCTGCATTACGTATTGCAAAAATGGTATAAATAATATCAGTGCACTAGTGAAAGAATATTAGACTCCCCAGTTGACGTGTATTGGACGTGTTGTGTGATTTGCTTACTTTTGAACATTGGTAAAAATCGAACATTTCCGCTACTTTGAGCTCAATTTCAAGGTTGTTTTCATTGTGAAACTAATCAAAATCACCTCTATTTCTGCAATATGTTTTCCATTTTATCACATGAGACCATGAAAACCAGAATCCAACAATAAATACTATACGTAAATACACCTCAAAGTTGGCATTTTAATCCTAAAAAAAAGGTCGGAATTTATTTTCTCATTATGCACTACATGCTGCAGGATTTTTTTTATATGGTGCACACCGACCACATAGACCCATTCTCTCACAGGTGGGCCTACCAGCTTTCTCCTGCTTGATTTGAAGCCGCTAGAATTATTAAGTGTATATACGTCCGAAACACTGGCTCGTAAGACGTATACATGTACATATGACCAAAACAGTCAAAGGGTTAAAGGTATAGCTAAGGTAATGGTTGTTTTTAGTTTTTGCTATTTTTACAAACATTCTGGTTTATCAAGACAGTTGGCATTACTGTACAGCCTTCTCCCATTAGTCTGTAAATCATAATTTTACTGCTAATGTAATGTATTCCTGAGTGTTATAATCAATATATAACTTTGAATGACCCACTTATTGAACATCATTCAAAGTATGAGGTGATTTAAATTGTAGTAAAGATCTTCTTTCTTCTTGCAGGATGTTGGTGCCACCTATGTAGAATAAGAGGAAAGAGGGTCACTCACAGTTTCACCAAGTTTAAGTGCACGGAAAGAATCTTTCTTTATTTTTATATGTTTTGTTTTAAAGCTATTAAAACAGTAAGAGAGATTTTATTTACAGTAGTAACGTTCTTGATCATAAGTCTCTTAATATTTGAAAAACAACATTGTTTTCAAAAACTTGTGATAAAACTTGTTACTTTCTTTTTATCCATACAAATCTTTTATCAGAACTTAGACACAAGCTTTGTTTTATCAGTCAGTACCTCTAAGTTTTATTATTTTTTATTATACAAAGAATCAATCTGTCTCTCTATTGAAGAATATTTAATTGTTTTGGTACTGATAGTGAAGGAGCTCACTAGGTGTAAGCTGCAGTGTTGGAGCATTAAGCAATTTAAAGATTTTTTCTTTTATCAAAAGCATTGGAGTTTGGAATTCTTTTTTGGGATATTCCAGTTTGTGTTCCTAGTGTCTGTGTGTACAGTAAGTTACTGTAGGACTGATTGTCTTGTGTGTTTTGAAAAAAAGTTTTTGTGCTGCTGTAGTTTTAATTAGAATTTGAATTTCATCAGTTTGAAGTATCTTGGTTCATAAATTACACAAAGTATAGCGAGCGGGAATATCCTTAACCTCTCTTTGCTGTGATTGCATATAGTATTACGAGGTTCTGCAGTATTTCTGCACTGTGATGAGTGAGTGAGAGTGAGTGGTTATGTGGTGCATCAGAACTGCACCTTGCAGCAGCTGACCTGGGCAATGGGGCAGACAGTAGTGTTCCTGGAAAAGCCACTGTAATACTATCATTAATATGTGAATTTAAATTGTAATAGTCTACAATACATCTTAAAGCATAATAGAGTATTGCCATAATAATGATGTAAGACTCTTCCAAATACTTTTGAGCATATTCTCCGCTTGATGAAAATATTTCAATAATATTTCATATTTCATAAGGAATTTTTATAAAATAAATCCATAAACTTTACATTTAATATATCCAAATAATTCTGCATAAACTTTTTCATCTTATGAGTTGTCATGTTGACAAAAGTTCGGAGTAACGAGCCACATAATGCTGCTTTGCTGTAACTTTTTCTTCATTCCACCACTATTATTAATGTACTGCACAAATCTTCCTCACATTAATATACAGAGAGAGACTTTCCTTTACTATTATAAATAAAAGTTGTAGATACTATTAATGGAAATAACTTTTCAATGTCTTCCTTTTGAATAGGTTATTGTGATGACTTTTATAATTTATTTACTTTGTAATGGGTTCAGGAGAGGAGTTTTACCTACAAATTATTATTTTCATGGGAAATATCAAACACACAAGAGTAATACAGCACCTTGGGAACAGAAGACAGTCAGTCTTGATCCAAGGAAGGAGAGAGCAGCTCTACTTTCTTAAATTAAGGCAACCATTTTGAAAGGAATTTGCTGGTGAAGGGCTCTTGATCCAAGTAAGTGGAATATAAACAGTGGTAGTAGAAAATTCTTATTACAGTGATTTGTTCAAGACTCTATCAAGTTGTATTAAAACAACAGAATTCTCTGTAACCAGTGTTTTTATTCTCTTTTGTGTACCTTAAATCACACCTGATTGCTCCCCATTTGCTTTCTTCCCAATTTTAATATTAATATTGTAAGGAATTTACTTACACACAATCATCTTTTTCATTTTTGTGCACATTTGAACTTTATTATTTATCATGAACACTGATGTGTTTATGGCAATGTTTGCAACATATGTGTTGATGGCTGTCTCTGCAGCATATGTTGATGGCTGTCTACAGTATGTGTGTTGATGGTTGTATCTGTAGCATGTGTTGATGGCTGTGTCTGCAGCATGTGTGTTCATGGCTGTCTCTGCAGCATGTGTGTTGATGGCTGTCTGCAGCATATGTGTTCATGGCTGTGTCTGCAGCATGTGTGTTGATGGCTGTGTCTGCAGCATGTGTGTTGATGGCTGTATCTGCAGCATGTGTTCATGGCTGTCTCTGCAGCATGTGTGTTGATGGCTGTGTCTGCAGCATGTGTTCATGGCTGTGTCTGCAGCATGTGTGTTGATGACTGTATCTGCAGCATGTGTGTTGATGGCTGTATCTGCAGCATGTGTGTTCATGGCTGTCTCTGCAGCATGTGTGTTGATGGCTGTGTCTGCAGCATGTGTTGATGGCTGTGTCTGCAGCATGTGTTGATGGCTGTATCTGCAGCATGTGTGTTGATGGCTGTATCTGCAGCATGTGTGTTGATGGCAGTGTTTGCAGCATGTGTTCATGGCTGTGTCTGCAGCATATGTGTTCATGGCTGTCTCTGCAGCATGTGTGTTGATGGCTGTATCTGCAGCATGTGTGTTGATGGCTGTATCTGCAGCATGTGTATTGATGGCTGTATCTGCAGCATGTATGTTGATGGCTGTCTCTGAAGCATGTGTTGATGGCTGTCTCTGCAGCATTTGTATTGATGGCTGTGTCTACAGCATGTGTGTTGATGACTGTGTCTGCAGCATGTGTTGATGGCTGTGTCTGCAGCACATGCGTTGATGGCTGTGTCCACAGCACATGCGTTGATGGCTGTGTCCACAGCACATGCGTTGATGGCTGTGTCTACAGCATGTGTGTTGATGACTGTGTCTGCAGCATGTGTTGATGGCTGTGTCTGCAGCACATGCGTTGATGGCTGTGTCTACAGCATGTGTGTTGATGACTGTGTCTGCAGCATGTGTTGATGGCTGTGTCTGCAGCACATGCGTTGATGGCTGTGTCCACAGCACATGCGTTGATGGCTGTGTCCACAGCACATGCGTTGATGGCTGTGTCCACAGCACATGCGTTGATGGCTGTGTCCACAGCACATGCGTTGATGGCTGTGTCTACAGCATGTGTGTTGATGACTGTGTCTGCAGCATGTGTTGATGGCTGTGTCTGCAGCATATGTGTTGATGGCTGTGTCCACAGCACATGCGTTGATGGCTGTGTCTGCAGCATGTGTGTGTTGATTGCTATGTATACACTATATATTCTGATGTCTGTTGCATACATGGTGTTATACAAGACAACATAGCAGTTAAGAGCTCTATGCTACACACTTGTGTGATGTGGAGCTCTGTCTGGTAGTCATCATTACTGAACACTGTTAACAAAACATTACTGACATTAATAATACTGATCTCCCTTTAATTTTCCTGTGGAAACTTTAAATCTGTTTTCTCAGCTTCATATGTGATTAATAAGTTTTTAGTATAGAATTTGATCAGATTGACTAACCATGTTTAAAAAAATATTATATTCCTTGAGTTTGAATTGTAATTATTCAGAATAGTTTATAAACAGCCACCACAATAATAATTTAATGATGTAACCCAACTGGAAAGAAAGCTGTAAGATTTGCAGAATTTTGTTGATGTGAATTTTTGTTTAACTCTGAATGTCGAAGGTTCAGTGTCATTACTAGCCAGTATAATAAGTGCATTAGTAGCTAAAAGAAACTTCTCAGACATGGTACAGTACAGTGCCTTTAGAAAGTGGTTTTTCAAATAAAAACTAAACCAATAGATTTAACACCGATCATTGTAGATACGAGTTAGTTGTTCTGAATGGTCTTCCCACCGAATTTCTCCAGTTAGTGGTTCTTGATACCTTACCCACCGATTTTCTAGAGGATCGCATATTTCTTATGATGTACATAGACAATATAGGATAATATAATTTTTTTTTATTGCAAATATAATTACCTTTTATGTTTGATACAATAATTTTTCTCTTTTGGAATTTTTGTGCTGTATTCTTTATTTGGAAAATAAATTTTCAGTTTCAGAATGATCTCCAAAGTTCAGAATTTTAATTAGGGAAACATTTTTAATTTAAAATGCAGGTTAGAGTTTGTGTGTTCAAAATGAAGATGTTTTATGTTTCTACACAATAAAGCATAAATTCTGTGTTTGATATGTCTATTATATCTAAAATATTCAAATTAAAATAGCATTCATAATTTTAATACAAGATCTCTTTAATTTGGACATACAATGTAATCCCGAGTTTCAACCATAATTCGTTCCAGAGAGCTGTTTGAGTGCCGTTACCAAATGAATTTGTTCCCATAAGGAATAATGTAAATTAGATAGTCCAGTTTAGACCCCCAAAAATACACTTACAAAAGCACTTACACTTACATAATTGTTCAAGTTAGGAGGTGGCCAACACTTGGGATACCACTGTATTCAGAATTTTCTGAAGAATGAAAATTCCAAATATTAATTCAACATATATCATCTATACTTCATCATTTTTTCGAGAGAGAAATTTCTGAGTTGCATTTTGAATATTTCTGCAGACTTTTCTGAACACTAACCTGAATGAGAAATATTGTTCTAAATTTTCCTGACTTGCTTAAATTTATTTAAATAATTAACAGTTCAGAACTATAATTTATTTTGGGCTATGAAGTACTTTTTTTAATGTTAAAAATATTAGTGGTGTAGCTGCGATAATGCTATCAAAATTTGATGAGCTTAATGACACATTACTCACCATCTTAACACACATCCAGTGGTATAATACTCGATCCATTTCCCATGAACATGCATCCCATGATGCAGATTCTCCCTGGACCCATAGGCAAATCTCATTGTGCAATAATTAACCGCTCCTTCAGTCCCCCACCCATCCCCTGAATGCTAATCCCATGGTGCAATACACAACCCTGTCCTCTCATCACAAATCCCATAGTGCAATACTCAACCACCTTATCTACAAATCTCATGGTGCAACTTGGTACTTGAGATTAAGACACATGTGCAACAACTGGGTATCTTTAATGTAGACGTTTCGCCATCCAGTGGCTTTATCAATACAAATTCTAGGACATAACTTGAAGACAGTAGAACTATGTTCAGAAGATGAGGTAATCAGTCCCTCAACCTAGGAGTAGGTGCGAAGAGCACCATAGTCGTGGAGATTCACACACAGATAAGAAGGGAGGCCCAATGACAATATGAAAACGACATAGCAGTGAAAGCTAAATCTGACCCGAAGCTGTTATACAGCCCCATCAGGAGGAAAACAACAGTCAAGGACCAGGTAATCAGGCTAAGGAAGGAAGGAGGAGAGACAACAAGAAATGACTGTGAAGTATGTGAGGAACTCAACAAGAGATTTGAAGAAGTGTTCACAGAGGAGACAGAAGGGGCTCTAGAAAGATGGAGAGGTAGGGCACACCACCAAGTGCTGGACACAGTACACACAACCAAGGAAGAAGTGAAGAGGCTTCTGAGTGAGCTAGATACCTCAAAGGCAATGGGGCTGGATAACATCTCTCCATGGGTCCTGAGAGAGGGAGCAGAGGCGCTATGTGTACCCCTAACAACAATATTCAATACATCTATCGAAACAGGGAGATTACCTGAGGCATGGAAGACAGCAAATGTAGTCCCAATCTTTAAAAAGGGAGACAGACATGAAGCACTAAACTACAGACCAGTGTCACTGACATGTATAGTATGCAAAGTCATGGAGAAGATTGTCAGAAGAGTGGAGGAACACCTAGAAAGGAATGATCTCATCAACAGCACCCAACATGGTTTCAGGGACGGGAAATCCTGTGTCACAAACCTACTGGAGTTCTATGACAAGGTGACAGCAGTAAGACAAAGAGAGGGGTAGGTGGATTGCATTTTCTTGGACTGCAAGAAGGTGTTTGACACAGTTCCACACAAGATTAGTGCAAAAACTGGAGGACCAAGCAGGAATAACAGGGAAGGCACTAGAATGGATCAGGGAATACTTGTCAGGAAGACAGCAGCAAGTCATGGTACGTGGCGAGGTGTCTGAGTGGGCACCTGTGACCAGCGGGGTCCCACGGGTCAGTCCTAGGACCAGTGCTGTTTCTGGCATTTGTGAACGACATGACAGAAGGAATAGACTCTGAGGTGTCCCTGTTTGCAGATGACGTGAAGTTGAGGAGAAGAATTCATTCGATCGAAGACCAGGCAGAACTACAAAGGGATCTGGACATGCTGCAGACCTGGTCCAGCAATTGGCTCCTGGAGTTCAATCCCACCAAGTGCAAAGTCATGAAGATTGGAGATGGGCAAAGAAGACCGCAGACGGAGTACAGTCTAGGGGGCCAGAGACTACAAACCTCACTCAAGGAAAAAGATCTTGGGGTGAGTATAACACCAGGCACATCTCCTGAAGTGCACATCAACCAAATAACTGCTGCAGCATATGGACGCCTGGCAAACCTCAGAACAGCATTCCGACATCTTAATAAGGAGTCGTTCAGGACCCTGTACACCGTGTACGTTAGGCCCATATTGGAGTATGCGGCACCAGTTTGGAACCCACACCTAGCCAAGCATGTAAAGAAACTAGAGAAAGTGCAAAGGTTTGCCACAAGACTAGTCCCAGAGCTAAGAGGTATGTCCTACGAGGAGAGGTTAAGGGAAATCAACCTGACGACACTGGAGGACAGGAGAGATAGGGGGGACATAACTTACAAAATACTGAGAGGAATTGACAAGGTGGACAAAGACAGGATGTTCCAGAGACTGGACACAGCAACAAGGAGACACAGTTGGAAGCTGAAGACACAGATGAATCACAGGGATGTTAGGAAGTATTTCTTCAGCCACACTGTATAGTCCTTGTGGCTTAGCGCTTCTTTTTGATTATAATAATAATCTTCAGCCACAGAGTAGTCAGGAAGTGGAATAGTTTGGGAAGAGATGTAGTGGAGGCAGGATCCATACATAGCTTAAAGCAGAGGTACGATAAAGCTCATGGTTCAGGGAGAGTGACCTAGTGGCGACCAGTGAAGAGGCGGGGCCAGGAGCTTGGACTCGACCCCTGCAACCTCAACTAGGCGAGTATAACTTGGTGAGTACACACACACACACAGGGCCAGGAGCTGAGTCTTGACCCCTGCAACCACAATTAGGTGAGTATGTATGTACACACACACACACACACACAGTAGAGACAGGAAGGGCTCTGGGAAGACAGCACAGAAGGGAACATCAAGAGGGTTACCAACAGGTGTTGGATGACATACGAACAACCGAGGAGGAGGTGCAGAAGCTGCTAAGTGACCTTGATACCTCAAAGGCGATGGGACTGGGCAACATCTCCCCGTGGGTCCTTAGAGAAGGAGCAGAGATGCTGTGCGTGCCCCTAACCACAATCTTCAACACATCCCTTGAAACTGGGCAACTACCTGAGAAATGGAAGACAGCAAATGTAGTCCCCATATTTAAGAAAGGAAACAGAAATGAGGCACTAAACTACAGACCTGTGTCTCTGACATGTATTGTGTGCAAAGTCATGGAGAAGATTATCAGGAGGAGAGTGGTGGAACACCTGGAACAGAACAAGATTATAAATGAAAACCAGCATGGGTTCATGGAAGGCAAATCCTGTCACAAACCTTCTGGAGTTTTATGACAAGGTAACAGAAGACACGAGAGAGAGGGGTGGGTTTATTGCATTTTCCTAGACTGCAGAAAGGCCTTTGACACAGTTTCCCACAAGAGATTAGTGCAGAAGCTGGAGGATCAGGCACATATAACAGGGAGGGCACTGCAGTGGATCAGGGAATACCTGACAGGGAGGCAACGACGAGTCATGGTACGTGAAGAGGTATCACAGTGGGAGCCTGTGACGAGCGGGGTCCCACAGGGGTCAGTTCTGGGACCAGTGTTATTTTTGATATGCGAACGACATGATGGAAGGAATAGACTCTGAAGTGTCCCTATTCGCAGATGATGTGAAGAATTAAATCGGATGAGGATGAGGCAGGACTGCAGAGACCTGGACAGGCTGGACATGTGGTCCAGAAACTGGCTTCTCAAATTCAACCCTGCCAAATGCAAAGTCATGAAGATTGGGGAGGGGCAAAGAAGACTGTAGGCAGAGTATAGGCTAGGTGGACAAAGACTACAGACCTCACTCAGGGAGAAAGAACTTGGGGCGACCATAATACCAAGCATGTCACCGGAGGCACACATCAACCAAGTAACTGCTGCAGCATATGGGCGCCTGGCAAACCTGAGATTAGCGTTCCGATACCTTAATAAGGAATCATTCAAGACACTGTACACTGTGTATGTTAGGCCCATACTGGAGTATGCAGCACCAATCTGGAACCCACACCTGGTCAAGCATGTCAAGAAGTTAGAGAAAGTACAAAGGTTTGCAACAAGGCTAGTCCCAGAGCTCAGGGGAATGTCGTACGAGGAAAGGTTGAGGGAAATCGGACTGACAACACTGGAGGACAGAAGGGTCAGGGGAGACATGATAATGACATACAAGATACTGCGGGAAATAGACAAGGTGGACAGAGATAGGATGTTCCAGAGATGGGACACAGAAACAAGGGGTCACAACTGGAAGCTGAAGACTCAGACGAGTCACAGGGACGTTAGGAAGTATTTCTTCAGTCATAGAGTCGTCAGGAAGTGGAATAGCCTAGCAAGTGAAGTAGTGGAGGCAGGAACCATACATAGTTTTAAGAAGAGGTATGATAAAGCTCAGGAAGCAGAGAGAGGGAGGACCTAGTAGCAATCAGTGAAGAGGCAGGGCCAGGAGCCGAGTCTCGACCCCTGCAACCACAATTAGGTGAGTACACACACACACACACTCACCTAGAGTGATGATTCTCTGAGCAAGAGTGAGACATCTGTTATTACCTGGACTGATGATTGTCTGAGTAAGAGTGGGATGTCTGTAATTACCTGGAGTGATGATTAGGGAAGAGTGAGACATCTATAATTACCTGGAGTGACGATTGAGTGAGGGCATTTTTGTATCTCAGGAGTTTTTGTGAATGAAGAAATAGATTAAGATGGAACATTTAGGCCATGTTAGTCAGCATTTTTTCAGCATATATTGATACTCACATAAATAAATGTACAGTGTTTGCACAAATATATTCAATTTCTGTTAAATGGGAAGGTCTCTCTTTTTATTAAAAAGTTTTGTATTAATTTTTAAGTTAATCAGTCTTTCATTTTGTAAAGAAGTTAAAGCAGATTCAATGTTGCTTCAGTCATATCTTGTCATTGTTTATAAAGAAATATTTGGTGTCTTTTTGACCAGATACTTATTATTGATTTATGGTATTGTATCTCTAATTGATATATACAACATGTGTTTCTCGATGGTTTGTGGAGACTTCACTTTCATTTTCTCAAAATTGTCTTTTATTTTAAAAATATTTTAAGGCAATGGGAGAGGGTGGGGGGATCTCATAATATAATGTTTATTCATGCTACTCATCTTTGTCTGCAACTTGTCTACTTAAATTCCAATAAGCTGAATGATAACAGCTTTTTTTTTATTTTATTAATCATGCCAGTCATCTTAATTTGGTGTAGTAACATAAAACACTCCTAGAAGCATTTAGAAACTTTCTAAATGGCTACCAATATCATTCACTTGAGATTGTGCTGTTCTGTGATAAGATTTTATGGTTGTGGAAAACAGCATGGTAGAATAATACCTTGACACTGTGAGAGTTGTACACATGTGTTGAGTATTTAAATGTTACTATGTCAAAGGAGGGAGATTCTGGCAGTTTGTGATATTTAGGCACAAATAAATGTGTCCATATATGACCTTAGACTGGCCATTAATGTAAATACCGTGATCCAGAAGGTCATTTTAATAAATAAAGATTAAACAAATTTAAATATATGGTATAAGTATCCTTATTCCTTCACTTTAACCCCTCAAGGAAGGTTCCTTGATGTTGGCGAGGGGCTCTTGATTTAGGGAATTGGATCTGTGCTCCAGTTCCCCGAATTAAGCCTGAATGCCTTCCACATCCCCCCCAGGCGCTGTATAATCCTCCGGGTTTAGCGCTTCCCCCTTGATTATAATAATAATAATCCTTCACTTTAATAAACGATGAAGTATGGATATGCTATACCGAGGAAATAGCTCTTATTGTTAATCTATATTAAGGTGAGTGCTTGTTCACTGAATGGAGGTGCAACTACAGTAGTTCTCCCATATCTGCAGGCAATATGTTCCAAACTTACCATGGATACCTGAAACTGTTGTAGTAGCAAACTCTAGGTGTGTACAAGTTGTCTTTCGTTTACATATATACTTATAATAAAGGCTGATAAATTGCACACAATGAGTGGAGAATTATCACTTTTTCTCCTCTTCAAGGGGGGCTCCTTGGTGTGGTGAAGAGGCTCTTGGTCTGAGGAATTAGACCTGTCGGTCTCCTTCCTCAGACCGAACCTAATTACCCCCCAATCCCCCCTTCCCTATCCCATCCTCCCCTTCCCCCACCCCTCCCTTTTTTTCCCCTTTGGGTTTTTTTCCCACAGGCACGTTTGTTCCTAGGTGGGGGGAAAGGGTCCCCCGGGGCCCAAATCCCTTTCCGTTGAGGTTTTTTGGGGCGGTGGCGTAGTTTGCCGGTGGAATCTGGATCGCCTGGGGATGTCCCGATCCCTCCCGGTATCCTGGAGAGTGGCTTTGGGTGTTTTGGGGGCCGACTTTTTAAACTCTGGAACCCCCTTTCGGATTCCGGGGGTGGGGCCGAAGCAGGTATCTTTGTGGCGGATACCCGGGCCGCCCCCTCTTTTGTCCACCGAGGTAGCCTGCAGATGTGGGGTTTGCTACCCCGGATTGCTGGCATGGGGGTTTTGGGTTGGCGGGGGTTTTCCATGCTGCTTCTATGCTACTTGCATGCTGGGGTCCCTTGGGCGCGGGGGGAGATTTCGGGCCCCTTTTTCATTCCCCCGGGAACTATCCCCCCGGGCCCCCCCCCTTTTTTTTTTATTTTTATTTTTTCTTTTTTTTTCCCCTTAAAAAAAAAAAAAGAAGGAAGTAACCTAACCAGGGAAAACCCCAATCCATGAAAAACCCCAAATTTCCATAAACCCTGGTACCCCCCAGGCCCCCTTTTTGATACCGCACCCCGGTCTGCCCCCGCCTCGTCTTTGGCCCCCTCTTGGGACACTCCTCATCCCTCTGTCCCTTTTTCCCGGTGTTTGTTTCCTCACCCGCTTCAGGTACGGGGGTCTGACTGACTCCTTTGTTTTATCTACCTCCGTTTCCCCTTTGACTATGCTCCCGGCCCTCTCCCCCCGGGTGCGGCAATTTTCGAATCCCCGGGCCCTTTCCCACGTCCGGGCCCAACTCTATTTCCAACGCCTAAACCCCAAACCCGGAAAATTTTACCTGCTGATGATTTTTTCTCCCCCTTTCTCGTTCTTCTAAAAAAAAGGGAACGACCCTCCTGCATTTCCCTTTCCAGGCTCGGTTTCAAAACTGCACAATGGATATATTCTTCACTTTTGCCCAAACTTCCTCTACCACCTATTTTTCCGCCACGTATTGGAAAGGGCCCACTCCTACGCCATGTTGGGAAAGGGTATTTCTTTTTCATGCTCTTAAAAAGGGGGTAAAGCGCATCATCCCCGGTACAGAATGCTACCCAAAATCATGATCTTTCTCTTCTTTCCCATATTCGGGTTCCCCGCACTATTTTAAAAACATCATTCCCTCAATTCTTGTAGTGGTACGTCATTCTGGGCCCCAAAACCTTTGTTTCAACAAAATTTCCAGGGCATGTGGCAATGACCTTCTTGAACAGCTGGAACTCCAAGATCTCCCAAAACCTTTAAAGGGAGACACTTTGTTCTTCCTGCCCGCGGGCGGGGGGAAAAACATAAACCCAGCAATTTTGGCTCTTTAAACTTTTGGGCAGCCGTGAAATCCCATCCTCAGTTTTGTAGCAGGACATCGGTTACAAAATTCGAAAGGTGATCCCCATACCGCCAGTGTAGAAATTGTTTGGGGATTTGGGGGGCCCTCCAGCGAAATATTGGGAGATCCCAAAACCCAAAAAGCCCAGTCTGTGGGCCGATGGGCCTTTTTAATACATCTTGCAATGACCTCCCCCTTTTCCTTTTAAATTTTATGAGGCTCCCCTTTCGTACTCTCGGCCCCTTGCCAAAGGGCAAATTTAAAAGAGGGGGGAAAATTTGTTGCCTCAAGAGGGGGAAGGTCTCCCGATGCTATGGCAGTTTCTCATTCCCCCCCTCCAAAAAGGGACTTACCCTGTGTTTCTTATTCTCGTGTTTTTAAAAAAACCCCCCCCCACTTTTGGGGGCCCATCTTCTGCCAGCCCCCTCTCGGTTGCCCCTTCCCTAGTCACTCCTGTATCTAAATTTTTTTGCTGCCTGGGCTCAGGGCCTCCCCCACTTCAACACCTCCGTCCCGTTCTCACTTTTTTCCGTGTTTCCCCCCACAAACCCCGGGATTGAAAAAGACCCCGTATGACACTTTCCCCGTCCTCCCAATCGTCCCCCTAAATTTCCCCAGAATCCCCAAAAAAACTCTTTTAAACCCCTCCTTCCCTCTTCCACCCCCCTCATGAGGTTCACCCTCCTCCCCGTACTGTGCCTTCCCCCCCCTGTCCCCTCCCAAGTTTCTTCCCTTTTTTCTGCCCCCCTTCCCCGGTTTCTGGGTCTTCTGTCCCCTCCTACACTTTCCAGTTCCCTCGACCCCTTTTACCCCCCCCCCCTACCTTTTACAGGGCCCTTTACAGTTCCAATCTCTTTTCAAACCCCCCTCCTTCCATCTCCAATATTGTCTCCCCCTAGACGTCTCTGAAAATTCCCAAACCCCTTTAAGCAAACTCTGAATATATTGCAGAGACCAAACCCTCAATGGACCAAATGATCCCCTCTCTGGGGCCTTCCTTTCCTCTTCCCAAACTGGGAAAAAACTCCTTTTTTTCCCCCAGCACACCATTCCTTCCCCTACTTGAAAAGTTTTTCCCCTGCCAAACCCCATGTGGGCTTTTTTAAAACCCCTCTAGTCCATAGGTACCCTTACCTGCGGATTTCTAGTAACTTTATCATTGCCAATCATGGCCTATTTACAGTGGAATATATGCGGCCTCAGGGGTAATCAGGGTGAGCTTCAGATGTTGCTCTCCCAGTTTTCCCCTGTTGGTGTTTGCTTACAAGAACCAAAATTACACTCTGCTGTTATCTATCCCATCTCAGGCTATAATTTATTGTATTCTTTGGATCCTTTTCCTAATGGAACCTTTAATGAAAGTGCCCTTCTTCTACACACTGATATTCTGTACCATCAGCTATTTGTTTATACTTCGATGCATTACACAGCAACCCATATCCACTTGCATAGGTGGTATACACTCTGTTCTTTGTATCTCTCTCCTTCTCAGGCATTATCTATCCCAGATATTGCCTTTCTTGTTTCGTCATTACTGCCACCGCTTCTGTTACTTGGCAATTTTAATGACCATCATTTCCTCTGGGGGGTCTCACTGTGATTCCCGTGGCATTCAGTTAGAGGCTTTTCTTGCTTCCCACCCCCTCCATGTTTTAAATACAGGTACTCACACCCATTTTGATCCTTATACTCATACTCTCTCTTGCATTGATCTCTCAGTCTGCTCTTCCTCCGCTGCACTAGACTTCACCTGGTCTGTTCTCCCGGATTAACATGACAGTGATCATTTTCCAATCATTCTTACTTCCCCTTCATATTCACCACCTCTTCGTAACCCACGCTGGCAATTTGATCAGGCAAATTGGGACCTTTACTCACAACTAACTGTTTTTAGTGAGGTTCCTTCTTCGTCCTCCATTGATGAGCTTTTACACCTCTTCTCGTCCTCAGTTTTAACTGCAGCTTCTCATTCTATACCCCAAACCTCGGGCAGGCATTCTCAGAAATGTGTGCCTTGGTGGTCTCCTGCTTGTGCTCATGCAGTACATTTGAAACACACTGTGTGGGGCAGGTACCGGTACAATAGAACCACTGAGAGACTTCTTGATTTCAAGCAGAAGCATGCGATCACTCGCTGTGTCATCCCTGACGCTAAACGCACTTGCTGGTGAGATTATGTCTCCATCACCTCTGCTTCCTCTATGAGTGCAGTGTGGAAAAAAGTACGGAAACTGAGCGGTAAATATTCTCCTGACCCGGCTCCTGTTCTGCGGGTTGCTGGTGTTGATATAGCAAACCCTCTAGATGTTGCCATTGAAATTGACAATCTTCTGGTCCGCATTTCTCTGGGGCTCCATCTCTGCCCCTCGTTTCTTTCCTCAAAGTCTGCCAGAGAGTTAGCACCCTTGGGCTTTTCTTCTCTCAGAGAAGAACAGTATAATGTGCCTTTTACACTTCAGGAAGCTGGACCCGACGACATTCATATTCGTATGTTACAACATTTACATCAGTCAGCCCTTGCAGTCCTCTTATGCCTTTTCAATCTTATTTGGTCATAAGGAGTTCTTCCACAGCTGTGGAAATCTGCCATTGTTCTCCCTTTCCGCAAACTGGGTACTATGGGACATGAAGCCTCCCACTATCGTCCCATCGCTCTTACCAGTGCAGTTTGCAAAGTGATGGAACATCTGGCAAATAGACGTTTAATGTGGTATTTAGAGAGACACAATAGTCTCTCCACTCGTCAATATGGCTTTCGTAAGGGCCATTCTACCATAGACCCCTTACTATGCTTGGATACATATGTTTGTAATGTCTTTGCAAATAACCACTCAGTTATTGCCATATTTTTTGACCTTGAGAAGGCATATGACACAACTTGGAGGCATAATATTTTGGCCCAAGCCCACTCCTTAGGCCTCCGAGGCAATCTACCATCTTTCCTTAAGAACTTTTTAACTGAGAC